TATGGAGGTTGGGGAAGAAGCGGAAATGGGACGGGGGGGGGGGGGAATCGCTGGGGTGTGGGTTGGGGAAGAAGACATGGGTATTTTTTTTTCNCTTTAATTGTAAAGAAAATGTTAAAAAAGGGAAAAATAAATAAAAAATTTAATTTCAGATGAATTTTGTAGTTTTCACGCGCCTCTTTTATGTGTAATACACGCGTGTGACACATGGCAAAAGAGGTGTGTAATTGACACACTTTTAAAAGTTTTGGTGTGTAATATTATTTCCGTGTTTAACAGGTGTGTAAGAGGGATTTGAGTATAAGGTCGATGGGTAAAGTATGTATTTTGCCTTTAGTATTTCCTTAATGGGTATGCACAAAGCAAATTGGTCACTTATTGTGGACCGGAGGGAATACTAAATTCTAGATGAAAATAGTTAGTGTGACTAAACTACCCTTAATTAAATGTTGCACCATAGTTATATTAGCACTTACTTCTCTTCTCAAATGTGAGGAGTAAATGACTTTTTAGAGATACGTACATAAGGGTAATTTTGGAAAAACAAATTGAATTTTTTCTTGATTATATATATGGACACTTATTTCGGCCAAAATAAAAAAACAAATTGGTCACTTATTGTAGACCGGAGGGAGTATAAACTTTGCATTTCTTGATTTATACTCCAGCTTTTCACTTTTACTCGTCAATAATTATTGACTTTACACGTCCCTTAAGAAATAAGAATTGTAATACGTATTTTAGCATATAACCCCTAAAAATGATAAAATTTTCTCATTAGATGACACAGTGTTCCAAGCGTGGTTGTTAAGAAATGAGTAATTAATGAAAAAGATAAAACATGAAAAATTATCTTTCTCTTGATTTACTAAAATTGATAAGTAAAAATAAAAATATATTTTTAGCATAGTGAACAAGTAAAAGTAAACAAAATTTATTTTAGACCACAAACTTTTAAAACAATAAGTATTAAATATTGTTCCAGTCCAACATCTTAAATAACTTTTTTAAAATTAAATTTCCTTGAAATCTTATTATTTTTAAAATAAATTTCCTAATCAATAATTCCCCGCTCTCTCTAGATTTAAGTGGAAACCAACGACCTGCTTCTCCACAAAATTGTGTACACGAGCTTCAACGAACTTTCTCGAACCAACTTAGCATTGAGCGAACCTGAGGTGACCAATCTGCTATATTTCTTCTAGTTTTTGCGTTTTGATCATCGGATTCCGGTATGGGTGCACCGGACGACGACGATAGCGACACCGTAATTATTCAGAAGGGGAAGAGAGGCGAGGAGCCTAGTGTAATTACGGTGAATTGTCCTGATAAAACCGACCTCGGTTGCGATATCTCTCGTACCATTCTCGATTTCGGTCTCCGCATAATCAAAGGAGGTACTCTTGTTAATTTCTTATTCCATTTCTATCAATTTCCGTGTTACTATTTTTTTTTACTTCATTTGTTTATGGGATGAATTTTGATTTTGTTTGTTATTGTTTTCGTATGATTAGGGATTTTTATACTAGATATGCATAGCATGTTGTTTGATCAATTCATTCCAAGTTTTTCTGATCATTTTTTTCTGATATCTATTACTGTGCCAAAAATATATATTCTGTTTTCATGTTTAGAAAAGTTTGATTTGCTATTTAATTTATGATTTGGTGGTGTTTGTCTGACATCTGTTTCGCGAAAACGGAACCTTTTTTTTTCTATTACATGTGCAAACAGTATCTGTTTCGAAGTACTGAAGATTCTTTTGGCAAAAATTTATGGAGAGAAAGCTCAAAATTTGTTTTTCAACCTGAAAAATTCATTCAAGTTTTACTTCCTTGATGAAAGCCGTACTCCCATCAGCTTTCAAGTAGGTAAAGAAGTTAATTTCTAAGCTTGATAACACCGTCGGAATATGGAAGTCCAAAACTGTCAATTTGAGGCCAAGCAGTAAGCCACCATTTGAGCTGGTTTCACTCATTTATAACCGATGGAGGTCAAAGAATGAATCTTATAGCCCGTTTGGCCAAGCTGCAAAAATCAGCTTATTTTGAGAAGTGCTTTTTTCCAAAAGTGCTTTTCTCAAAAGTACTTTTGGTGAGAAGCAGTTTGTGTTTGGCTAATTAGTTTGAAAAGCACTTCTGAGCAGCAATTAGTGTTTGGCCAAGCTTTAAAAAACTGCTTCTAAGTGTATTTTTCTCAAAAGTGCTTCTCAAAAAAGTCTGCTTCTCCTCAAAAGCACTTTTTTTCCTTCCAAAAGCTTGGCCAAACACCTCAATTTTTGGCCAAAAGTGCTTTTGGAAAAAAAAAAAGGCACTTTTGGCCAAAAAGAAGCTTGGCCAAACATGCTATTAGAAGTTAAAAAAGACTTTTTGGAAAAGTGTCATCCAAACAATTCTTGCAAAAATCGCCTTTCGTGCTCAGGAAAATGTTTCCCTAAAAAAATATTTTCTCTGTAATTATTTTGTCTAGGAAAAAAGTTTTCTGGATTATTTTCCGTAGTTTTTACTTGAAAGAATCTTAAATGATGCGTGATAATCGCACGAGAAGGATAATGGAAAATGAGGATAGTGTTTTAGTGATAACTCTTTATTATTAAAAGTTTACTACAATGTGAATTAGTGGTTGAGGCAAGTGAATGGAGTAAGAGTCGTCATATTTGTATAAGAAAATGATTCTGGTTCGTAATTGATGGAAGTTAGTTTTTGATTTTAATGAAAAGAATTTACTGGGAGAAAATAACTTCAACACATTATGATAACCATGTAAGTTATTTTTCCTACGTGTATGTGGCCCAATAGATTTAAGGCCCATAATTAATATTTAATTAATTATCAAATCTTATCCGTCCGATTGGTTACTTGATGGACGTATCAGATTAAGTGATAACTTTTATAAATTGGTCCTCTCTCCACCCATTAGGGTTATTTTATTTTCTTTCTTCCATCACTAAAGGCGGCGGTAACGAAAGCTAGGGCAAGGGGCGAGAAACCAATTTACTGATTAACGCTTCCGCTTCACGATAATAGATTCCGCCTCAGGTATGTTTTCTATGACGATTGTATGTAAGATTATCATGTTCAAGATCCTGGTATGCATTAAAGTTTATGTCTACATGTGGTATCAGAGCATGGATTACTTGAACTGATAACCTTCGTTGAAAAGAACAATATATATATGAATTAGTTGCTGGTTAAAAATTGCGTGTGCATTCGACAATTACGAAATCATGTCTTTAAATGTTTTATCATCCTTGTTGGTTCTGTTCGTCGAAATCGCTGAAACATTATTACTGCTTCAATTCTCAAAGTGCCTTTTGAGAATATTATTACTGCTTCACGACCTAAAAGACCTCTTTCCTTTTCATTTATTTGCTGCTTAGACCGTCAAAATATAAAGACGCTGTCAAAATTGTACTATGACATAATCAACGATAGCCAATTTTATAAACCTTCTAACCACCACCAATTAAAGTGTGTGTTACAGATTTGAGTGTTTAACAGTTTTTAGAGGCAATTATGCAAAATATGATAAAAACGTGAAAGTTGTTTATAGATGCCCTACTGCAGTAAGTTGATTTAAGCCCACACAATTCTGCCTGTTAAGTTTAACTTTTTTATTTTACCTGAAATTTATGTATTAATTATGAAGTCCAATTTGAGGCCAACATGGATGACTAATTCCTTTAAGGATGTCATTTATTTGATACTTATAAGGTTTTAACTCATGGTTCTTCCGCATAAGCCGTAAAGCTGATTGTATCTATTGTTGAGCCATAAAATAATTTGTTTTGGACTATCAGTTGATAAAGCCATTTATTGTTTATTTTATGTATGTGATTAATGTTTATATAGTTTGTTAGTCACCAAAGTGATCAAACTAAATTGTTTAAAGTATTCACATGCATAGAATTTTCTGATGTTTATTTTATATATGCATTTATGTTTATATAGTTTGTTAGTCACCAAAGTGGCCAAACTAGTATGTTCATGAAAAGTTTGCATACATAAAATTATAGTTTATCCATGAAATTAATGAAATGCCTATAGTTGTAAATTAGTGGATATATTAATTTTCACTATTGCTAGAACTTAAGAATTTACCCAAAGGTGGATCAGTCATTCTATGAATAGTGAATATAATGGGGTAAATTAATATTCTTAGTCAAATATATATTATCTATCCAAAGATGTCATATATGTTTGGTTAAAAATATTTAATTACCTATTAAGGACTAAATGACATTTAAATTATGATAGTGTGTCGTACTATTTACCCAAAGGAGAACTGCGATATGCTTTAACTGTTTTGTTGAATCCATATTGATTTGTGAGCATGTATTATCTATTTTGCAGCTATTCCTTTTCATTCGCTTGCTTCGTCTGTTACTGTGTTCAACGGATTGAACTTCTATGAATGGCGTGAACAAGTCCAGTTCCACTTAGGTGTGATGGATCTTGACTTGGCTTTGCTGAATGATAAGCCCGCTGCCATTACTGATTCGAGCAGTGCGGATGAGAAGTTTTTCCATAAAGCATGAGAACGCTCTAACAGGCTAAGCCTTATGTTTATACGAATGAATATTGCCAACAACATTAAGAGTACTATTCCACAAACAGAAAGTGCCAGGGAATACCTGAAGTTTGTGGAAGAACGTTTTCGTTCTGCAGATAAGTCTCTCGCTGGTACACTAATGGCTGAACTCACGACCATGAAGTTTGATGGATCGCGCAGTATGCAAAACCATATCATCGAGATGACTAACATTGCAGCAAGACTTCAGACCTTGGGGATGAAAGTGGATGATTCCTTCTTGGTTCAGTTTATTCTAAACTCGTTACCTCCTGAGTATGGACCTTTTCAAATTAACTATTACACTATTAAGGATAAGTGAAATGTTAGTGAATTGTCCAGTATGCTTACTCAGGAGGAGCCAAGACTTAAGAAACAAGGGAGTCATTCAATTAACCTCATGGGTCAAGGATCTGGTAAAGGATTTAAAGTGAAGGCCAACAAGTTCAAGAAGAAGAAAGCACCTGCTAAAGCTCAACAAGATGCTAACAAGGAACATAAGGCAGATATGTGTCGTTTCTGTAATAAGGAAGGACACTATCAGAAAGATTGCCTGAAACGTAAAGCTTGGTTCGAAAAGAAAGGTACAATTAGTGCTTTTTTATGTTTCGAATCAAATTTAGTAGAAGTTCTTAATAATACTTGGTGGCTTGATTCTGGTGCAACTGCTCATGTATCTACTACGTTGCAGGGATTCCTTACGATCCAAACTACAAATCCAAATAAGGATTTCTTGTTCATGGGAAATCGTATGAAGGCTCCAATTGAAGGCATAGGGACTTATCGTTTGATCATGGAGACTGGACGTCACCTTGATCTATTACAAACTCTTTATGTACCTTCAGTTTCTAGGAATTTGATTTCTCTTTCAAGACTTTATGTTTCTGGATTTGATTTAAAGTTTGGAAATGGATGTTTCAATTT